ATATATATATATACACACAAAATTCATGTGTTCAGGGCATGAAGCACATGTCCACATGTTGAATTTTCTTCTCATGCAGGCACATGTCACACCATGGGTCAAGTTTCTTGCCAGGAGGCGCTCTCCTGCACCTGCCGGCGGACAAGGGCCCCTTCGTGCCAGGCTTCCCGGCAACTGATACAGAAAGCCCCTTGGGACCTCGAGGATTGTTCAGGACACCGGACGGAAGCCAAGACACCCTCAAGGACACCCAGCGCACAGGAGTGGCTCCTGCCTCAGTCCATGTTCCGCATACACTGCCCTCGACGATGGGCACTCCTCCCCCAGCTGCTACTCCCTCTCCAGCATCTTTGCCTTCACCCTGTAGCCTTGGACGGACGTCGATGCCAAGCACACCATCCCCTCCTGCACCCCCAGTGGCACTGCAGAACACCGCCCCACCGCAGAAAAAAGCCGCCTCACCCGCTCCTGTGTCGTCCCCTGAACAGGTGACCCCGCATCAGGCAGGCCCAGGCACTAATCCCTCTCCTGTGTCATCCCATGGACAGGCGACCCAGAACGAGAGAGGCCCAGACACCACTGCCCAAAGCAATCCATCTCCGACACAGGGGAAAGAATCCGTGCAGACGTCAACTCAGGCCAGTGCTGTTCCGGATGTCTTGCACGGGGCTGTGAAAGAGACGGACACACCCAGGAAGCCCAAGCAGTCCCAGCGAACCCCAACTCCCAAGAAAACCCGAACTCCGAAGAAAAGCCAGGCTTCCCCAGCCAACAAGGGCAAAGGGTCTGGTGCTGGTTCCAGCAAGGACCCGGCAAAGGCTAAGGCTCTGGCAGGGACCGATGCTCAGGGGGACACTGCGGCTGATGAGACCGAGAAGGATTCCATGTACGCGGATGGCAGCTACTGGAGGACTGTGCACATGACAGCATGAAAAGTTATGTCTATGTGTGTCGGTCTTTTGCAAGAGCAATACTACAATCATGAAGCTAGCTTCTTTATTCGACACTCTCTGTACTCTCTCTAAATAGATATTATATATATATGTTATGAGTGAGTATGTATATGTACACACAAATATCTAATGAGTCTTGTTATGCTATATTCAATGCATCTCACATAACTACAGCACAGTGTTCATATAATACCTTGTATTACATGACACCACAAGACATGTGTAGTTTATGTCCAATTTCTACAATATGCAGATATACTGTGTGTGTGTATATATATATATTATTAATCTATGGCCACTACATAGTCTGATTATAATCTGTCACACTATAGTATGGTATGAGGAACAAGGTTATCAAGGGTGATGATTACGGTTTGATCATGTATCATGTATAAGAAAAAAGCATCTCACACAACTATCCTCTATCTATCCTCGATCTCCTGTTATCATCCGTCGTTAGTCATTATTTCATTGCTGTAGCACTTGTAAGAATCGGTTTTTGTTTTAACGGTTCTTATATATATATA